GAGTGGATGTTGTGTTGTGTTCAGCACTGATTGTTTCGTGTAGCATCAATGATTCGTATCATCGATTGCACAGTCTATTTTGTTAATATGTTGTTATCTGAAATCATAGGTGATTTGGTTGTTCTATTTCCATTGTATGTGAGATGCTAACACTTAGCTCTAAGCAGGGCTCACTTCCTGAATCCTAGCTTGTGTTTGGGCATAGACACACAGGCTAATGGGTTTCCCTCAAACTAAGTATACGTTACACAGAAGTTCAATCCCTTTCCTCAAGATGGAGGAGGATGTCTAATGCACTTAATTCCCTGCAACAAGCTGGAGACTCTCTAATAATAGCTTAGCATTTAAAAGGCGCTGTGAAATCCTTTTGTAAGAAGATAAAAGTCAAAGAGATGTCATCTGTGTGATTGTGAGCGTGACATTGGGCCTGGTGAGAGGAGGAGGAGGCCTCCTGGGCTCCACATGATAGATCCTTTTTGATCTCTTACACCAGGAACAAGAGCTGTAGAGCTGGATTGGTGACTCAATTTTCCAAATGTACATAATTGAATGAGAAAGATTTTTCAAGTGGAGACGAGGGGTGTTTCTGAGGGAGAGGACGCCCACTCCAGTCTTTGTACCTTTGCTAAAAAAAATATACGTGTTTATTTATATAGAGCTGTGGAGAAGAAATTGTAGACTTCTCCTTGTTTCATCTTCACTCTCCATTCTCTCTCCATTGAATACACAGCACTAAAGCACATGCATGTAAGTGGTTTCGAATAAACATAAGACTGAAGGTAGGAGTGTTGTTATAAAGAATCTACAGTATAAAGATGGAGGTACAGAGGCAGCACGTAGTGTACAAGAAAAGGGCTGCAATCCCCTTTAGGATTGGTGAGCCATAAGGGCTGTTGTCCCTGAAATGGGGGGGGGGGGGGGGGGGGGGGGGGGGTATACAGAAGATAGCCCTATTTGGTAAAAGACCAAGTCCATATTATGGCAAGAACAGCTCAAATAAGCAAAGAGAAACGACAGTCTATCATTACTTTAAGACATGAAGGTCAGTCAATATGGAACATTTCAAGAACTTTGAAGTGCAGTCGCAAAAACCATCAAGCGCTATGATGAAACTGGCTCTCATGAGGACCGCCACAGGAATGGAAGACCCAAAGTTACCTCTGATGCAGAGGATGAGTTAATTAGAGTTACCAGCCTCAGAAATTGTAGACCAAATAAATGCTTCACAGAGTTCAAGTCATAGACACATCTCAACATCAACTGTTCAGAGGGGACTGTGTGAATCAGGCCTTCATGGTGGAATTGCTGCAAAGAAACCACATCAATAAGAAGAAGAGATCTGCTTGGGCCAAGAAACATGAGCAATGGACATTAGTCCTTTGGTCTGGAGTCCAAATTTGAGATTTTTGGTTCCAACCACCGTGTCTTTGTGAGACGCGGTGTGGGTGAACGGATAATCTCTGCATGTGTAGTTCCTACCGTAAAGCATGGAGGAGGAGGTGTTGTGGTGTGGGGGTTCTTTGCTGGTGACACTGTCTGTTATTTATTTAGAATTCAAGGCACACTTAACCAGCATGGCTACCACAGCATTCTGCAGTGATACGCCATCCCATCTGGTTTGGGCTTAGTGGGACTATCATTTGTTTTTCAACAGGATAATGACCCAACACACCTCAGGCTGTGTAAGGGCTATTTTACCAAGAAGGAGAGTGATGGAGTGCTGCATCAGATGACCTGGCCCCCACAATCCCCCGACCTCAACCCAATTGAGATGGTTTGGGATGAGTCGGACGGCAGAGTGAAGGAAAATCAGCCAACAAGTGCTCAGCATATGTGGGACCTCCTTCAAGACTGTTGGAAAAGCATTCCAGGTGAAGCTGGTTGCGAGAATGCCAAGCGTGTGCAAAGCTGTCATCAAGGTAAAGGGTGGCTATTTGAAGAATCTCAAATATAAAATATATTTTGATTTGTTTAACATTTTGTGGGTTACTACATGATTCCATATGTGTTATTGCATAGTTTTGATGTCTTCACTATTATTCTACAATGTAGAAAATAGTAAAAAATAAAGAAAAACCCTTGAATGAGTAGGTGTGTCCAAACGTTTGACTGGTACTGTACATAGATACAAGGTAATGAAATTGGATTTACTCACCAGATCATCTCACTGTGTTCAGGCAACATGCTATGAGCCTTTAACAATGACCTTTCTAATCGTGGCTGGATTTAATGTAGGTTATCCCTTCATCTCGGTGTCCACTGCAGAGATGATAGGGTATTGTGACATGAGTCAATTGTGCATAAACGGTAGACAACCTTGAGTGAACAACGGACCTATCAGCTATCAGTCCTGGTATTCAAAGGGCTCTGAAGGTTTTTTATAATGTTACTTTTCAATTAGGGGGAGGTTTTCACCAAGAGAAACAAGCAAGGTGACTTTCAATCCACATCATTCAAAGGTAGACAAAGACCAACAGCATACTATGTGGCCCTGGAGACAAGTAGTGTTTTAGCCATGATCTGAACTTTTAAAATTGCTAAGTAATTGGTGGTCTGTGACTGGCTCTTTTCAGCTGAAGGGGAAAAACATAATTATTCTGTCCATTGCAGGAGGAAATGTATTCTCCTACTTAGGAATGCCACAAAGTCTTTCATTCACCTAAAGGGGCAGATCCACTTTCTCTTTACAAAAAGCATGTTCAAAAATATTTTGCTAATTGAGAGATTGTTTTGATTGTGTGTGTGTAATCAAGAGGGGATGATTGCTTAGTGACCAATTTAGACTACATTTCGTATCGCGGAAATATCACGGAAGATCTACATTAAAATGTAAAGGAAATTGAGCCGACATATGCAGTGTTTACCGTGAATGCAGTTTCCAAGAACGCCAGAACATTGCCTTTAAATTTTAATCTAGCTATAACATGAATTTTCCGTAATACATCCACGATACTGATTGAATCGAGCCCTAAATCACATAAAATACAGTCCTACAGTCATGGCTACAGAACCAGGTGCTAGGAACACAACCAGAAACTAAACAATTACTGGAAACTGCAACAGTATGCAACCATAGCTAAAGTAGTTTACTATGAATTAAAATTGGTCAATTTCCATGAGACAAAATTATATGAATGATATGAAATGCACAGTTTGTATTGAATCATGCAATGTATGATGAATACATTGTGAAATACATGTAACTGCCAAAATAAAGGAAACACCAACAGAAAGTGTCTAAATAGGGCATTGGGCCACCACGAGCCGCCAGAACAGCTTCAATGCATCTTGACATAGATTCTACAAATGTCTGGAACTCTATTGGAGATATGCGGCATCATTCTTTCACGAGAAATTCCATCATTTGGTGTATTGTTGATGGTGGTGGAATCTCCCAGAAGTGTTTATTTGCTAAAATGGGACAAGGTCCATGATAAGGCATTGCTCTGCTTTCTTGGCATCTGTCGACCAGACAGGTCCTACAGGCCCTAGGTTTGTCGCACTTGGACTACTGCCCAGTTGTGTGATCATGTGCGGCAAAGAGGGACATACTGTAGGTAAATTGCAGTTGGTCCAGAACAGAGTAGCACGTATTGCACTTAGATGTACACGGAGGGCGAATGTCAGTAACATGCATGTCAATCTCTCCTGGCTCAAATTTGAGGAGAGATTGACTGCATCACTATTGGTATTTGTGCGAAGTGTTGCTGTGTTGAAGGTACTGAACTGTCTGTTCAAGCAGTTGGCACACAAGACATGCAATCAGAGGTCTCTTCACAGTCCCCAGGTCCAGAACAGAAGCTGGGAAACGCAAAGTATTAAATAGAGCCATGACTGCATGGAACTCTCTGCCACCCCAGGTAACTCAAGCTAGCAATAAAACCAGATTCAAAAATCCAGATAAAAGAACACCTTACGACACAATGGGAAATGTGAAGAGAAACAGCCATTATATTTTACACTCAATCAATGAAGCTACTTCAATACAGAAATTACCATATGGATATTACAGTTGATGCAATACAGTAGAAGTATATCTTTTTTTCTTAAATATTGTCTGGGAAATGAAATGAATCTAAATGCATTTTGACCCATTCTAATGTAGGCTCCACATGCATTAATAGAAGTAACTTCTGATTATTTTTGGTAGGGGAAATAGATACACCATCCCTTCCCTGGAGAAAATAATGAATGATACCTGCTTCCAAAGATAAACACTGATTGGATGCAGCCAAAGACCAGTGAAAGAGATGCATACAAAGTAAGGGCCCTCTGAATGCATGCTAGTAAATGGAACTCCGGGTTTATCTTTTAACTATGCTTTCGCAAACCATTTTTGTAGGCCATTGTGTCTCAACAGATCATTATGAAATTACGTCTGACTAAACAGTTCGCTACGTGGTGGTTTCCCTGCTGCCGTCTCTGTATTGATTATGGTGTGACTGTTGACGTGACAGCACAGAGATTACAAGTTCCACATGAATGGATAGAACCACAACAAGCAAACAAGATCCCGGCTGAATTTTTAGTTCCCTCACCAAGAGAACATTTTCAGGAACGACTATGATGCTTTTATTTTGAAACTGCTCAGTCACAAGAAAGACACTTGCTAAACCCGAAGCACAGTTGATTTTTTTCTTCTATTTTCCTTTGAAGTCATCTGAAGCTCCAGGCTTTGTAATGGCAGAAACTCATAAATGTTTACATTTGCTTCCTGAGCAAGCTGAAGTGTTCTGTTAGTTTGAGATTCCAATAGATACATTTGGGCAGCTGAAAATAGCATAAAGGTGCAACGCACTTCATCAGAGCCGCTGGCTCTAGCGACAGCCATGATTACTCCGTAGATAATTAGGTTAAATGAAGGTAGGGAAGACGGAGTGAGAGAGACGACTGTGGGGCTGAAACAATGTCCAGCAACACTAACTCAAGGCCTACTGGCAAACCTGCACATAACAGCCATCCTATCATTGCCATTAACATTTACACTGAGCAAGCTTCCATTAAAACCTTGAGAAGTGTGAACCCCATAAAAGGGACAACATAAACAGTATCCTGTCTTCACTGACCTGTACTTCAATCCCGTATCCCAGGTAGACGGTCACCACATAGGTGCAGTCCGCTCCAGAGTCAGGTGACAAAGCTGAGGAATGCTGCTGTGGAATCTCAATGTGGCCCTCTGGGTCAGTGAAATTCACAGTGCAGGGACCTGGCACAGGAGACAGAAAAATACAAGTGATCCCTCTTCCCAGACCACTGATCCCTTTCTGACAGCCCATCTGTGTTTCAGTGGCCCTCTAACCTACTCATTAACTTCCCAGGTTTGCTACCTCTCAGCCCAGGGACCAGAGATCACACAGCCCTCAGCCATCTAGAGCCACTGGACAGGACAGCCAGGCAGCACAGATCAGGTGGAGCCAGCCTTGGCAGATTGGTTTGCCGCATGATCAGCTTTGTGATCCTGGGTGCCGGATGAATGGGAGAAGTCACCATGGAAGGATGAGCAACACTGACTGCCCTCTCAGATGTTGTTCCTGCCTCGCTGTATAAAACTCTGACTAAAGTCTGAATAAACACTGTGAGTGAGAGGCAGTCAGGTTGATAGCTTAAGTGATTTGATGATGCCTACATTAAAGCTGCTTCTCCAAAGCCATCGCATTAAGTCATTACAGAAAAGATGCAGTTGCCAATTAGATGTAATTGGATTTACATACTTCTAGTTTCACTCTATATTCATATGAGACCATTAGAAATAGAAGGTACCTGGTGTCTGCATGGTGGTGATGGTGGTGGTTGTGATGAGGGTTGTGGTGGTCGTTCCCTCATCCACCTCTCCTGTGGATGCTGCGGTCAGTTTGGTGAGCTGGATGCCAGGGTCTGCCCTGTTCTTTACCCTTGGTTCCTCTGACTCCCCTTTCTCCACCCTCACTGAGGTGGTCAGGACAGGAGGGGCCATAGTGGTCTCCATGACAACTGCCCCCTGACTATGGAGGCTTCCATTCAGGGAGGGGGGGACATTGGGGCTGCGGCCACTGACTGTAGGAGCAGTGGTTGCCACTACAGGGTTGGTCAGGGAGTCTGTGGTCACCGTCACCTTCTCTGCCTCCCTGGCCTTGTCCTCGGCTGGCTTGTCCTTCTGAGCCATGCTCACCAGTAGCCCAGGGGCTGTAGGAGCAGAGGTGGTGAGGGGGGTTGTGGCAGCCACCGTGGCAGTAGTGGCGATGTCAGAGAAGGTAGGGGCATCCTCGTGTGGCACCAGGCGAGTCGAAGCTTGTCCCACCTCAAAAGCAGAAACAAAGCCAGGCATTGTGGGATGTCCTGCCACATCTCCATGGTCTGTGAAGAACCGCTGGTCCCCCTGGAAGTTTTTAGTGAGCAGGTGTTCATGGAGGGCGAAGCCTCTGAAGACAGGCCGGTGGTTGGGGACGTTCATGGCGGATGCTGTGGTGAAATGGTGGATCTCACTCGTTGTGTCCTGTGTGGGGGAGTGTGTGAAGGCTCCGCTGTCTGACTCCACTTTCCTCTGGCCCACAGAATTGACATTCTCTAGAGAAGACGCTGGAGAGAAACACACAGACAACATGGAGATATTAGAGCATACAAGAAGACAACAAATACCAGAGAACATGATTCCTAAATATAACATTGCATAGACAATTTCTTTTTTTACTACAAAGGGGAGGGGGGGGGGGGGGGGATCTAAATTGGATACATGATATATGGCTCTGCTGTAATTGCAAAATCTGTTCTTTAGTCTAGGGCTAGGGACTGCCATTTACCAGGATCTAAGGAGCATTATGAATGGATATCATGTTAGATAGAAGGTTAAGTGCTGTGGCTAGTGAGCAAAGTGGAACAATAAAAACCCAGATTAATTAACTACAACTGTAGACAAATTGCAATGAGGCCCTTAGAAAAGGCCCTTTAGGAAAAAATACTCATGATAACCCTTTGATGATTCATTTGAATACCTTTCTTCCTCCTTCCTCCAATTAGCCAAAGCAAAGATTTTGCTCTGAATTTCTCATGATGATTACCAAATATAATAATGGCTGAGCCGTAGAGAGTAATTATTCCCATCTGCAGTGGTTGAGATGTAATCAGGAAGCCCCGGGGTCTGGGGGCTAAATTCATAAAGGGGCGGGCGTTGATCATGAATGCTCCAAATTGCTCTCATACAGTATTTCTATAAGAAGCCAAAACCAGAGTGTTCAGTGTACTTGCTCTCAAGAATTATAGAGGAAAATTATCAGTGCTTTTGAAAGTGGCTTTATTTTGCCGGAATGACGACTTTAGTGTCAAAAGACACCAGAGGACGTCTCTCAGGGTGAATTATGAGCAACAACACGATTGTATTTAATCTCTTCTACATTTATCTCCATTAGTATATGGAATGACTTTAAAAAGTTATGTGACGGATTAATAATGACAGTCCTCACTGTGAAGCCTGCAGCAAGTCAGCACGAGTGTTCATTATCACAGACAAGCGCTGCATTCACAGCCAAAAAGAGTAAAGGAACTGAAAGGGGGACTTAATCAAGAAAATTGAAACATTCAAGTGACTTCTGAGATAAAATATTAAAAGACATACAGTGGGGAAAAAAGTATTTAGTCAGCCACCAATTGTGCAAGTTCTTCCACTTAAAAAGATGAGAGAGGCCTGTAATTTTCATCATAGGTACATGTCAACTATGACAGACAAAATGAGAAAAAAAAATCCAGAAATTCACATTGTAGGATTTTTTATGAATTTATTTGCAAATTATGGTGGAAAAAAAGTATTTGGTCAATAACAAAAGTTTCTCAATACTTTGTTATATACCCCTTGTTGGCAATGACACAGGTCAAACGTTTTCTGTAAGTCTTCACAAGGTTTTCACACACTGTTGCTGGTATTTTGGCCCATTCCTCCATGCAGATCTCCTCTAGAGCAGTGATGTTTTGGGGCTGTCGCTGGGCAACACGGACTTTCAACTCCCTCCAAAGAGTGGCTAGGCCACTCCAGGACCTTGAAATGCTTCTTACGAAGCCACTCCTTAGTTGCCCGGGAGGTGTGTTTGGGATCATTGTCATGCTAAAAGACCCAGCCACATTTCATCTTCAATGCCCTTGCTGATGGAAGGAGGTTTTCACTCAAAATCTCACGATACATGGCCCCATTCATTCTTTCCTTTACACGGATCAGTCGTCCTGGTCCCTTTGCAGAAAAACAGCCCCAAAGCATGAAGTTTCCACCCCCATGCTTCACAGTAGGTATGGTGTTCTTTGGATGCAACTCAGCATTCTTTGTCCTCCAAACACAATGAGTTGAGTTTTTACCAAAAAGTTATATTTTGGTTTCATCTGACCATATGACATTCTCCCAATCCTCTTCTGGATCATCCAAATGCACTCTAGCAAACTTCAGACGGGCCTGGACATGTACTGGCTTAAGCAGGGGGACACGTCTTGCAATGCAGGATTTGAGTCCCTGGCGGACTAGTGTGTTACTGATGGTAGGCTTTGTTACTTTGGTCCCAGCTCTCTGCAGGTCATTCACTAGGTCCCCCCGTGTGGTTCTGGGATTTTTGCTCACCGTTCTTGTGATCATTTTGACCCCACAGGGTGAGATCTTGCGTGGAGCCCCAGATCGAGGGAGATTATCAGTGGTCTTGTATGTCTTCCATTTCCTAATAATTGCTCCCACAGTTGATTTCTTCAAACCAAGCTGCTTATTACCTATTGCAGATTCAGTCTTCCCAGCCTGGTGCAGGTCTACAATTTTGTTTCTGGTGTCCTTTGACAGCTCTTTGGTCTTGACCATAGTGGAGTTTGGAGTGTGACTGTTTGAGGTTGTGGACAGGTGTCTTTTATACTGATAACAAGTTCAAACAGGTGCCATTAATACAGGTAACGAGTGGAGGACAGAGGAGCCTCTTAAAGAAGAAGTTACAGGTCTGTGAGAGCCAGAAATCTTGCTTGTTTGTAGGTGACCAAATACTTATTTTCCACCATAATTTGCAAATAAATTCATTAAAAATCCTACAATGTGATTTTCTGGATTTTTTTTTCTCAATTTGTCTGTCATAGTTGACGTATACCTATGATGAAAATGACAGGCCTCTCTCATCTTTTTAAGTGGGAGAACTTGCACAATTGGTGGCTGACTAAATACTTTTTTTCCCCACTGTAAGTTTTCTAAAGGATAGACTCCAGTTGAAGGATGGGATGACTTTCAGGATGTAGATTACCCCTAGTGTGCACGTACACACACACACACACACACACACACACACACTGCTTGACCCACACTCCTTAAAGTGATGCTCCAGTAGTTTTAAATTGACGCCCCAGTAGTATAATTTCAGCCAGTATTTTGAAAGTAGTGCTCACGAGCAAAAACGGGTCCCCGAAAATTGCAATTCGTATGATATGTTTCAAATTCCAATTCGTACAATACATTACGAATTTGCAAGTGCTTAAGATCCCGGACTGCATATATAACCACATGCCAGAAAAAGAAGTAAAACATGATAGAGCACAGAAAACACACAAGCCTTGTAGTGGTAAACCACTTTGAACATTTAGAAAATGGTGTTATATAGGTACTGTAATTCCCTACAAAACCAAGACACAGCTGCCAAAACAACAGGCAGTGTGTAGGGATTGCTATGGTACAGCAGTGATAACGACTGCTTCTCTTGTCCTTTATCAGAGTAGGATCTCTATAAAATGGAAATAAAGATGTTAAACTGCATTATTTGTCCAGGGATTTTTTACACTAATTGTCCTTGACAGTTTCACCACTTATGGTTGTGCTGTGAGGACAAATAGAAAGATGCAACTATTCAGTAGACTGAATGTAGGCTACAGTTTAGTAAGTAAGGTTGTGACTATGAAAAATTAGCTAATTTCTCTGTCTAAATGTATCCCAAGATGAGTGATGGTTCACCATTTATAAATAGTAGATTACTAGGCTGCACATTTATGTCGAACCTCTCAATAAGCACGGTTAGATGCACACAATAATGTGATTATTGATGTTGGTCAGGTTAACATAATAGTTCGTTTTAAAATGTTTACATGCTTTGCAAGACCAACAATTTCCCTAATAATCCTGTTTACATGGACACATCTGAAATCAGGCTAATGATGGTGACTTTGATAAAAGCAGAAAATCGCGAATCCAAATAAACGTTCTACCACAGTGACCATGCTGTTTTTGCGAAGACTATTTGATTCTGAGTTCGGACATAAAATGTTTGTATGTAAAAACTTTTTATAAGATGCATACTTTCGGTTTTTCCAAACTCCCTTCACTCATGCATAATAGAGGGAGACTTGTTCTATCCAGTTCTGGCATATGCACAGAACAAATACAACGCTGGAACGCCGATTCAGCTGTGTACATGTCCTAATAATTCGAAAAATTGCTCAGAAAACCAGGTGTTTTAATCGGCGCATGCTGACTTCTATTATGACCTTACGTGAATGAAGATATGCAGAGTAAGGTGTTTACATGACTAATGCCATACTCGGCTGTCACGACTTCCGCTGAGGCTGCCTCCCCTCCTTGTTCGGGCAGGTTTCGACGTTCGTCGTCACCGGCTTACTTGCTGCTCCATTTATCATCACTCCACTTGTCTTGTCTAATTAATCACACACACCTGGTCCTTATCCCCAATTAGTCATTGTATAAGTGTTCCCTCTGCTTCCTTGTCTGTGTGAGCTGTGTGTAGCTCGGTTGAGCTACCCTTACCTTTGCTTGCACAACTGTTTATCAACGGAATAAACTCTTTGGATGCGTATTACTCTCTTGCGCCTGACTCCTTCTATCACACGCATCACAGAATCACCCACCCGCTATGGAGTCAGCGGGAGAAGAGTGCAATGCGGGAGTCGTGGCACGGGTCCAGGAGCACTCCACGATGCTGGCCAGCTTGGGGGAAGCGATGGATCGGGTTCTTCAGGTCGTCCAACGCCTGGAGAGGAGCAGATCCGATCTGTCGAGACCAGCTGGCCAACCGGATCCAGCCACCTACACCCCAGCACCAGGAGGGATCCAGATATCCCGACCACGGGCGTTTGAGGGGACAGCGGCGCTGTGCATCAGGCCGGCACCATCGGAGCGGGAGAAGGTGTCCGTCCTCATTTCCTGCCTCTGTGGGAAAGCCCTGGAGTGGGCCAACGCAGTGTGGAACAAAGGAGGAGCCGCGTTGGAGGACTACAGGGAGTTCACTCGCCTCTTTCGGGCGGTATTCGACCACCCGCCCGAGGGTCGAGAGGCGGATGAGCGACTGGTCCACCTGAGGCAGGGGACGAGGACCGCGCAGGACTTCGCGTTGGAGTTCCGGACGCTGGCAGCGGGGTCCGGGTGGAACGAGCGGGCCCTCATCGACCATTTCCAGTGCCATCTGCGGGAGGACGTCCGACGGGAGCTAGCCTGCCGGGACACCATGTTGTCCTTCGATAAACTGGTGGACATGGCCATTCGGTTGGACAACCTGCTGGTATCCAGAGGACGTCCTGGTAGGGGTCTGCCCGTTTCCACCACGGAAGACTCGGACCTCGAGCCGATGGAGCTGGGTGGAACCGCCGGCCGAG